AACCACAGTTTGAAAACATTTTGGCAATTCGGAAATGAATTTCTTGGCTTGGAAAAAAAACCCAGTGCCAGCTGACTCAGGAGAGCTAAATCCACGGTGCCAGGCTGCCATGTTTGGTTTTTCCTATAATTAAAGCCGGATCACCGACATGCTGGTTTATTTTGCTCAAAACTGTCTTTTCTGAAGACCATCAAAACGAAAACGACACAAGTCAGGGCAACCTTTCCCCACTCCAAAAATATGAAAACTCTGCAAAATTGCAAAATTTGGGCCAGTTTTGCTAAACGGCCTGCCTCGTTTGATTAAAAACTTTGCTCATTTGGGGCTTAAAACCTTCTTCCAGAGGCAATATTGAAAGCCCTGTGGTCGAGAGACGCCTCTGTTTTTTTCCACGGGCCTTTGCTGAACTTCACAACTCGGGAGGCAACACACAAGGACACAACGTCCTCTTGTGGTTTGCTATCACTTTCACTTCCCCTCTTTCCACTCTGCATTTTTTTTTTTTTTTTGCTCCTGAGCTCTGATCCGCTCTGTTGCAAATGTTTAGCTGCCTGGACTCGCCCCTCCGGCGGCACTCACAAAATTGTCGCTTGGAGAGAGCGTGTGATTCTGGTTGTGTGTGTGTGTGTGGGGGGGGTTACAGGTTGGGGTTCCTTGATCAAAAAAGAATTTGCGGGGGGGACCCACAGAAGTGGCTCCGTTGGTGTCAAAGACCTAACCTCCTTCTGCAAGAGTGTTCAGAGCAAAAGAACAGAAGAAGAATAAGAGAATAATAGAAGACAATAACAGAATAACAACAGAAGAATAACAGAATAACAGAATAAAAGAATGAGAGAAGAATAATAGAATAACAGAAGAATAAGAGAATAACAAAAGGATAAGAGAAAGCAGAAGAATAAGAGAATAACAAGAATAACAATAAGAGAATAAGAGTAACAGAAGGATAAGAGAAAGCACAAGAATAAGAGAATAAGAGAAGAATAAGAGAATAACAGAAGAGTAAGAGAATAACAGAAGAATAGAATAAGAGAATAACAAGAATAACAATAACAAGAATAATAGAATAATAGAAGAGAATAACAAGAGAAGAATAACAGAATAACAATAAAAGAATGAGAGAATGAGAGAAGAATAAGAGAATAACAGAAGAGTAAGAGACTAGAGAATAACAAAATAACAAGAGAAGAATAACAGAATAAAAGTATGAGAGAATGAGAGAAGAATAAGAGAACAGAAGACTAAGAGAATAACAGAAGAATAGAATAAGAGAATAACAAGAATAACAATAACAAGAAGAATAGAAGAATAGAAGAATAACAACAGAAGAATAGAATAACAGAATAACAATAAAAGAATGAGAGAATGAGAGAAGAATAAGAGAATAACAGAAGAATAACAGAATAACAGAAGGATAGAAGGATAAGAGAATAACAGAATAACAGAAGGATAAGAGAAAGCATAAGAATAAGAGAATTACAAGAATAACAATAACAGAAGAATAGAAGAATAATAGAACAACACAATAAAAGAATGAGAAAATGAGAGAAGAATAACAGAAGAATAAGAGAATAACAGAAGAATAACAATAACAGAATAACAGAAGAATAACAGAATTGGAAGGGAACTTTGAGTCTTCTAGTCCAACCTCTTGCTCAAGCAGGAAACTCAGACTAAATGGTTGTCCAATCTCTTCTTGAAAACCTCCAGTGATGGAGCTCCCACAACTTCTAGTGGCAAGGAGTTCCATTGGTTAATTGTTCTCCTCGTCGGGAAGTTTCTCCTTAATTCCAGCTTGCTTCTCTCCTTGATGACTTTCCATCCGTTGCTTCCTCTTCTCCTGCCTTCTGGTGCTTTGGAGATGGGCACCTCTCAAGTTGGCACCGTGCCCTTTGGGCGGCCTGGCTCGACGCCAACTGTGGTTCTTTGCACTAATGTTGTGGTATTTGTTCTTTTACACAGACTACTTGTAATGGCATATCTGTTTGCTTTTATTACATTATAAACTGCCCAGATTCGTCCAGGCTCTGAGGTTTGATAATAGAATCAAATAATATAGCTTCACCTAATTAATGAAAAGAAGGACTAGGGGGGACGTGATAGCAGTCTCCCAATATTTGAGGGCTGCCCCAAAGAAAAGGGGGGTCAGCCTATTCCCCAAAGCCCCTGAAGGCAGGACGAGAAGCAACGGATGGAAGCTCATCAAGGAGAGAAGCAACCTGGAATTAAGGAGAAATTTCCTGACAGTGAGAACAATTAATCAGTGGAACTGCTTGCCACCAGAAGTTGTGAATGCTCCAAATACTGGAGGTTTTTAAGAAGAGCCCGGATGGTTTAGGGCCGGGATGGCGAACCTATGGCACGCGTGCCACAGGTGGCACGCAGAGCCATATCGGCGGGCACACAAGCTCAGCTCCGTTCGGGTTTTCTGGGCCCACCAGGAATAGGGAAACAGACTGTTTCCTGCCTCTGGAGGGGCTGAGGGGAGTGAGGAAGGCCCGTTTTTTTTGCTCTCCCCAGGCTCCAGAGCCTTTCTAGGAGCTTGGGGAGGGCGAAAACGGCCTTCCCCACCTGCCCAGAGGCCCTCTGGAGGCCAGAAACTGTCCATTTGCCAACTTCTGGTGGGACCGGAAGGCCCGTTTTTGTTCTCCCCGGGCACCAGAGCCTTTCTAGGAGCCTGAGGAAGGCGAAAACAGCCTCCCACCCCCCTGAGATAACAGGCCATTTCTGGCCTCCGGAGGGCCTCCGGGGAGGGGACACACACTGTTTCCACCCTCCTCAGGCTCCTAGAAAGGCTCTGGAGCCTGGGGAGAGCAAAAAACGAGCCTACCGGCCCACCGTGCCATCGCGTGCCAAAAGCGGGGGGGAGGAGTGCAGGGTTGGCATGCACACATGCGCGGGGGTGGGGTGCATAGAATTATGGGTGTGGGCACATGTCCCACGACAACCCCCCCCCCCCGCATTCACCCCGCTTTTGGCACACGATGGCAAAAAGGTTAAGTCTAAGTTATATTTTTCTCTATGTTGCTCCTTCAAAGTACGGTCTACTTTGAAGTAGGGAGGAAGGAAGGGAAGGGAAACTTGAGCAGGAGAGAAGGTAAGACAGGGGGAAAGAGAGGAGGAGAAGGAGAAGGGAAGGGGAAGTAGGGAAGAGAAGAAGAAGGTGGGGAAGAAAGTAGGAAGGGATAAGAGAAGAGGGAAAGGATGGGTTTGAGGAGAAAGATTGCCGTACAATAAAAAAAGATGAAGTGGAAGTAAGGCAACTCCGAGCGAACAAAATAGACATGTATTAAGATAAAAGAATGAATTGTTTAAGAATAAAAGAGAACAAATGTGAATAAATAGTAAAGTAAGAACGTAGGGATAAATGAAGATGATGTTTATGTATGCAGGTATAGAAATATTGAGATAGGTTTTTTTAAAAAAAGGGAGAAAGATTGAGAAAAGGGGGGGGAAGGAAGACGATTTTGGAAAAAACTGTAATTGAGTAAAATGTATTTGAATTTGATTAATTGTGCCTTGATAGTACAGTGGTTTAGTGCACCCTGTTATTAAGACCAGCTGTCTGCAATTAGTGTAAATTCGAATCTCGCCAGGCTCAAGGTTGACTCAGCCTTCCATCCTTTCTAAGGCAGGTAAATTGAGGACCCAGTTTGTGGGGGCAATAAGCTGACTTTGTATAAAAATATACAAAAGTATGAAGGCTATTGCTTAACGCATTGTAAGCCGCCCTGAGTCTCCGGAGAAGGGCGGCATATAAATCAAATTAAAAAAATAATAATTGTATAAGATAAAAAAAAGGGAAACACTTTGAAAAAAAAAAAAAAAAAGAGGTGAATGTGGAAGAGGTGAAAAAACCAATAAAACATTTTTTTTTTTTTTAAAGTACGGTCTACTCACTGCAGCGACGTGAGAGAAGATCTTGGGGTGTCTTCCCCGCATCCCTTGTCCATCTCGTCCTTCGCGCGGCGGGCAGGGGGCTGCCGACCTCCCTCTGAAACGAAAAGAACGACCTCAATCCTCCCCGCACACCTGTATGGCCAGGTGAGCGTAAAAGCAGGGGCTTTGTGGGTAGGAAGAGCAAAGCATTCTGGGACTCTGGTTGCTTTGGCGAGGAAGAGGATGCCAGGATCGGAAGCGGGGAGGTAGGTGGGGGGGGGGGGGGTCACGAAAACCCTCGATGGACTCTTGGGGGGGGGCGTTTTCAAGGCAGTTGATTAGCTAATTCAGCGGTGTGGACTTTCAACTCCCAGAATTCCCCAGACAGCATTGGAAAAAAAAAATTTCATGCGCAACGGCTGAAAATCATCGCAAAATAGGAACCGGCTGACTTTCAACCCTGCCTTTGGTGACCTTTAACAGGTTAACAGAGTTGGAAGGGACCTTAGAGGTCATCCAGTCCAACCCCGGCCCCACCCCGCTCAATTGAATTGAATTGAATTGAATTGAATTGAATTGAATTGAATTGAAAACCTTCCGACCCATGACGTCCATGGGGGACGCCAGATTCGCTTAACGACTCCATGATTCACTTAACGACGGCGGCCAAAACGGTGGCAAAACGGGGCAGAACTCTCACTTAACCGCTGCCTCGCTTAACCGCAAGAATGTTGGCTGTCTCGATTATGGTCGTTGTTGTGGCCTGTGCAGCTAGTAGCTGATTCCGACAGCAAGGAGGCTGGTGTGGTGCTGCGCCAGCAGCCTGTGCAGCTGACACTCGAGTCGGACAGTGAGGAGGCTGGAGAAGATGTGGTGCCAGAGGCGGGGATTCAGCCAGGGCCTTCAGAACCTCCCATAAGTGAAGAGGAAGAAGAGGAGGAGCCTCTTCTCGATGCACGGGCGCACAGAGCTGCCAAAAGGCAGGAGTGGCTCCTCAGGAGGAGGTCTCCTCGAGAGTAAAGCTTGGCGCTAATTGGCCACTCCCTTAGCCTATTTAAGGAGGAACACCAACTGAAGCGATTTGCAGAGAACAACTTCGTTCACTCTCCTTCGCGTCTTGATCTTAGTTCTCTGCAAATTGCTTCTGGGCTTTCTGCCAACCCTAGTAAGATTACAATTATTTATTCTTTGGATTCTTTTAGGCTGTTAAGAAAGTTAATTAACAGCCTTTGTTTGAAAAAGACTGATTTAATTTAGTAAACTAAGATTTGTACAAACTTCGTGTGTGCTGCGTTCTTTGATGTCCGTAGCTAGGGCAGAACAGTCGTACGTCGAGGACTAGCTGTACCTACTGGGCCGCTGCTAAAAAAAAAAAAACAGCAGAGGAGCAGAAGGAGTCCAGAAAAGTTGGCCATTCTTTTGCGGAAGTGTCTAATTTATGGCCCTTGGAGAGAAATTTTGCCCCTGGGGACGATTAGAAGCTGAAGCTGCTTCCGGCGTGACTGAAATCTAAATTTATTTCTCTTATTTATTTTTCCAAAGAGCCAGAAGCTAAAGTTCAAAAAGAAAAAAAAAACCAGAAGGAGATAAGGAAGGAGAGAACAGGTTGGCTTTGAGATGTTCAGGGCTCCCGGATTTTCTCCTGGCCGCGTGCCACACGGACTTCCTGGCTGGCAAGACAGAGCCAACTGACTTCCCTCTGCCCATGTGCAGAGTGGGTTTTTCCTCATTTCCCGCCCCCTCCCTCAACTTTGCCCATGTTCAGAGACAGCCTCCTTTCTTTCCTTCCCACTCGGCCCATCGCGAGACCCACACTCACCGGCCTCTTTGCATTCTGAGGGTGGGATTCTGCGCGGAAGCAGTGATGGCTAACCTTTTTGTCGTCGCGTGCCAAAAGCGGGGGTCGCATGGGGGGGGGATTCACACATCCATAATTCAATGCCCCCCGCATCCCCGTGCATGTGCGCACGACCTCCCCCCCTGCTTTTGGCACGCGACACCAAAAAGTTTAGCGGTGGGCCCAGTAGTCCTGTTTTTCGCCCTTCCCAGGCTCCAGGAGCTTTCTTGGAGCCTGGGGAGGGCAAAAACAGCCTTCCCCATCACCCCCAGAGGGCGGAAATGGTCTGTTTCCCGACTTCCAGTGGGACTGGAAGGCCCAAAAATCAGCTGGTCGGTGCGCGTATGTGCGCTGGAGCTGAGCTAGGGCAATGCTCGCATGCCCACAGATATGGCTACGCGTGCCACCTGTAGCACGCGTGCCAAAGGTTCACCATCACCGGCTTAAGGAAACCCTTCGTTTCACCCCGCAGGAATTTGCAGAAAGAGAAAAATCCGTCCATTCCCGCCCCACCCAGGTCAAGAAACGGAGAGACAAATTATGCAAAAGAAAATAAATAAATAAACTTATTTTTTCTTGTAAGGTGGAAATAAAACCTCGAAAAAAAAACCCTCTTCCGAAGAATTGTGCAGAGTTTGCGAAATGGCAGGAGATATCAGCAAAACCCACTTTTTTTTCCACTTTAAAGATCTCTCCCCCCCACCCCACCACCACCCACCCCACAGGCCCCCATGACCTCTCCATCCCAAATTTCTGGGAAACGGGGGAATTTTAAGCTCAGCCAAGAGAGCTTGGGCTGCAGAACGAAAATACGATTTGCATCCAAAATCCTTTCTGCTCCAAACAACTGTATCAAGAATCCTCCTGCCTGCTGGATTCCAACTCCCATCTTTCCCTCCTCTCCCCGGCTGGCTGGGGATGATGGGGGGTGGGGTTTGCGATCCTTCTTCTCTGGGGGTGCCTTATGGATCCCGAACTGGGTTTCTGCTCTGCAAATTCCCCTTCGGGGCACGACCGGAGATGCATTTAACTCCGGTCCAGAATTGCACAAATGGAGTGGGGGGGGATGTCAGGGGCCCCTCTGGAGCCCCCAAGAGCCGAGGGGCCCAACACGCCTTGTGCAGAGCCCTCCCCCCACCTCCTCTCCTACCTGCCGTGAGTCGGGGGTACCCCGATTGTCGTCCGTCCCAGGAGCCTGGCACACCCCTTCTCTCCGCAGTGCGGCCAGCTCCTCTCTCAAACTTTCCAGACTGGCTTGGATGCTGAAGAGCACGAAGAGACAGACCAGCAAACCCACCGCCAGGACCCCCACGGCGGCCCAAGGGGTTGGGGGGCGCTGCTGCCTCAGCCCCCAGGAATCGAGCCCCGGGAAGGGGCTTAACACCCCTCTCCAAATCTTGAGAGGCATCGTTCTTTCCAGTTTCTTCCCGGATCTCGGCTTCTCCTTGAGGGCTTCCTGCCCCACAGAGCCCAATTCCGAGACCCCCGCAGTCCCCAAAAGTGGGGGGATAGGCCTGGGGCTCCTCGCCCCCCCAAAATCGGCCCCGCAGATAATTCTAGGCTTGCAACCACAGCAACCGGTGCCCGGTTGAGGTCTAGGCACTGCCGCAGATCTCGAAGGCTCCCCCGAGGGGTCAGGACCTCCAGACATGACCGGTATCCCCACTTCACCCCAAAGTCACCGCCTGGCAGAAGGAACCAGCGGCATCTGGACTCTGGCGTCTCCCGGCTGCAGAGCACCGGCTGTGCCTGGACCACTGAGTGGGTCTGTGTGCCCACTGCAGCAGGGGAAGGGGCCTCGCCTGCCGGCCCACCCACCCCGAGGCCTCCCCCCTGCTCAGCTCCCTGGCCAGGCTTTCCCCGCGGAGAGCAGGCGAACGGGTTGCCAAAGTAAGCCAAAGTAAGATTGTGCAAGGGATTGAGGAAGCTGGGCAGGAGCCGCGGAGGAGGGGGGGGTGGCAGACGTGCCCGCCCTGCCTTGGAGAGCCGCCAAGTGCCGACGGTGGCAGTTGGCCACCGCATCCTGGCATGCTACCTTCCAGGCTTGGCAAGGGCCTGTCTGGCTTCGCCAGGCGTGGCCATTTCCCGGCACCCAGACCTCGGGATCAGCTGATCCCAGAAAGCCAGATTCCCAGGACTGCTGCCAAGGAAGAACTGGATCGGTTCCCGTGAAGGAAGGAGGCCTTTTCGTGCCCTTTCCCAGCGGTCTCGGGTTCCGAGAAGCCAACCGGCCGGAGGGGGGGGGTGTCTGACCACTGCCCCCGTGGCACGTCCCAACGGCGGTCACTGCAAAGTAGCAGGCTTGGGGAGAAGCTCAAGCATTTCAGGCAAAACTGCTTTGCAGTAATTTCTTCAAAAGCCTCCAGTGTGGGAGCATCCACAACTTCTGGTGGCAGGCAGTTCCACTGGTGAATTGTCCTCACTGTTAGGAAGTTTCTCCTTAATTCTACGTTGCTTCTTTCCTTGATCAGTTTCCATCTGTTGCTTCTTGTACTGTGGGGGGGGGGGTGGACTAGATGGCCGGTCCCTTACTCATTCTCATTGCTCTTCTCTGCACTTGTGCCGTGTTCATAGTACTTTTTTTTTAATACCGTGACGACCAAAACTGGATGCAGTATTCCAAGTGTGGCCTTACCATGGCCCTTAAAAGTACTATTAACACTTCACACGATATGTATCCCCATTGTGGTTTGCTTAATCTCTTCTGATCCCTTTCACTGCGATCTCTCCACTCTAGGGGGTAGGAGGGGAAAAAAAAAACAGGCATGGGGAATTCTGGGGTTTTACCAAGGCATTAAGAAGTGCTATAAACACTTCACACGATATGTATCCCCATTGTGGTTTGCTTAATCTCTTCTGATCCCTTTCGCTGCAATCTCTCCACTCTAGGGGGCAGGAGGGAAAAAAAAAACAGGCATGGGGAATTCTGGAGCCTTACCAAGGCATTAAAAAGTGCTATTCACACTTCACACGATATGTATCCCCATTGTGGTTTGCTTAATCTCTTCTGATCCCTTTCGCTACGATCTCTCCACTCTAGGGGATAGGAGGAGAAAAAAAAAACAGGCATGAGGAATTCTGGGGTCTTACCAAGGCACTTAAATGTGCTGTTAACACTTGACATGATATCTATCTCCATTGTGGTTTGCTTATTCTCTTCTAATCCCTTTCTTTTTAGTCTCTCCACTTTAGCGGGTAGGAGGAAAAATAAACAAGCATGGCTGACTGGGGAATTCTGGGGTCTTACTAAGGCCTTATAAAGTGATATTAACTGATGCTATCCTTCTGCTAATGCAGTCTGTTGGCCTTTTCGGCTGCCGCCGCACACTCCTGGCTCACACTTAAGTGGTCGTCTACTAGGACTCCAAGATCCCTCTCGCGGTTACTACTATTGAGCTACGTTTCACTCAATCTGTATATAGACGTTTGGGTTTTCTTGCCTAAGGGTAAAACTTTACTTTTTGCTACACTGAATTTCATTTTGTTAGACAGGGCCCAGGGTTCAAGTCCTGAGTTCCTGGGAATTTTATCCCGCCCAGCCTGGCATGGCATGAATTGGGAACGATGGGCTTTGTGAATCTTCCCATGGAGGGGTACGGAAGAAGAGGAGAGGAGATGCCTTTTTAAGAATGACAGCAAATCCTCTTCCGAATTCTGCCCAAACAGCTTCTTTTCCATTTCGACTGAGAGCCACGACGGAGCGTAACATTTCCGTCGCTGAGCGAGACATTCGTTAAGTGAGTCTTGCCCCGTTTTGCCACCATTCTTGCCACGGTTGTTAAGCGGATCACTGCGGTTGTTAAGCCAGTCACACGGTTGTTCAGTGAATCCGACTTCCCCATGGACTTGGCTCGTCGGAAGGTCGCAAAACGGGGTCGTGTGACACCCCACCCCACCCCACCCCGGGACGCTGCGACCGTCATAAATACGAGTCGGTGGCCAAGCGTCTGAATTTTGATCCATTGGGGATGCCGCCACTGTGTGAAAAACAGTTGTTAAGTCCCTTTTTTTTTTTTCAGTGCCTTTGAACGGTCGCTAAATGAATCGTCGTAAGTTGAGGACCACCTGTGTTCCATTTCCAAAGAGTTTGAGGGGCGAAGGAAATATTCTTGGCTGCAGGGCGAGGAAAAACGGTGAGTTTTATTTTTTTAAAAGAAGTCGTGGGGAAGGTTGTTGTTGATATATATTTTGTATATATAGACATAAATATATATATATATATATAAACATCCAGCGTGCAAAAAGAGAAGTTTGAGAGCAGACGAAAAAGTCCCCAGTTCTGCTCAAAAGCAACATGATTTTGCTGGGCATTTTTCAATTACGTTCTATGAGGAAGCAGCTGCTGCTGCCCTCCTGACCCCATAAGCCACAGCTGCCCCCCGCCCCAGCTCCCCGTCTGGAAGGCCCCGGAGGGCCCCAACCACAGCCACGTCGGCTGGGATGATGGGACTTGGGCTTCTCAGCCATCTTGGAGGTGAGGAGGGAGAAAGAGTCGCCAGAAATAGCATAGTGGTCTTTCTTTTTTTCTTTCTTTTTCTTTCTTTCTTTCTTTCTTTCTTTCTTTCTTTCTTTCTCTTTCTTCTTTCTTTCCTTCCTTCCTTTTTCATTTTTCTTTTTCTTTCCTTTTTCTTTTCTTTCTTCCTCTTTTTTTCTTTGCTTTTTTTCTTTCTTTCTTTTTCTTTCTCCTTTTCTTTCCTTCCTTTTCCTTCCTTTTTCTTTCCTTCTTTCTTTCTTTTTCATTTTTTTCTTTCCTTTTCCTTTCTTTTTTTCTTTCTTCCTCTTCCTCTTTTTATTTTTTCTTTGCTTTTTTCTTTCTTTTTCTTTCTACATTTTTTCTTCCTTCCTTTTTCTTTCTTTTTTTCCTTTTTTTTTTCTTTCCTTTTTCTTTCTTTCTCTTCCTCTTTTTCTTTCTTTTTTCTTTGTTTCTGTTTGTTTTTCTTTCTTTTTTTCCTTTCTTTCTTCTTTTTCTCTTTCTTTCTCTTTTTCTTCCTTCCTTCCTTCCTTCCTTCCTTCCTTCCTTCCTTCCCTCCCCTCTTTCCTTTCCTTTCCTTTCCTTTCCTTTCCTTTCCTTTCCTTCCTTCTTTCTCTATCCACTGCCAGGAGTTCGATCCTGACCGGCTCAAGGTTGATTCAGCCTTCCATCCTTCTGTGGTGGGTTAAATAAGGACCCAGATTGTTGGGGGGCAATAGGCTGACACTGTAAACCCCTTAGACACAGCTGTAAAAGCACTATGAAGCGGTATATAAGTCTAACTGCTATTGCTTGGGAAGGAAGGAAGGAAGGAAGGAGAGATGGGAAGGAAGGAAAAGAGAGGGCGGGAGGGAAGGAAGAGAAAAAGGCCAAAAGAAAGAAAGAAATGAAGGAAGGAAGGAGAGATGGGAAGGAAAGAAAAGAGAGGGAGGGAGGAAGGGAAGGAAGAGAAAAAGGCAAGAAGAAAGAAAGAAACAAAGGAGAGATGGGAAGGAAGGAAAAGAGGGAGGGAGGGAGAAAGGGAAGGAAGAGAAAAAGGCAAAAAAAGAGAAAGAAATGAAGGAAGGAAGGAGAGATGGGAAGGAAAAGAGAGGGAGGGAGGGAGGGAAGGAAGAGAAAAAAGCAAAAAAAGAGAAAGAAATGAAGGAGAGATGGGAAGGAAGGAAAAGAGAGGGAGGGAGGAAGGGAAGGAAGAGAAAAAGGCAAAAAGAAAAAGAAATGAAGGAAGGAGAGAGGGAAGGAAGAAATGAGAGGGAGGGAGGAAGGGAAGGAAGAGAAAAAGGCAAAAAGAAAAAGAAATGAAGGAAGGAGAGCGGGAAGGAAGAAATGAGAGGGAGGGAGGGAGGGAAGGAAGAGAAAAAGCCAAAAAGAAAGAAATGAAGGAAGGAGAGATGGGAAGGAAAGAGAGGGAGGGAGGAAAGGAAGAGAAAAAGGTAAGAAGAAAGAAAGAAATGAAGGAAGGAGAGATGGGAAGGAAGAAAAAGAGAGGGAGGGAAGGAAGAGAAATAGGCAAAAAGAAAGAAACGAAGGAAGGAGAGATGGGAAGGAAGGAAATGAGAGGGAGGGAGGAAGGGAAGGAAGAGAAAAAGGCAAAGAAAGAAAGAAATGAAGGAAGGAGAGATGGGAAGGGAGGAAAAGAGAGGGAGGGAGGAAGGGAAGGAAGGAAGAGAAAAAGGCAAAAAGAAAGAAATGAAGGAGAGAGAGATGGGAAGGAAGGGAAAGAGAGGGAGGGCGGGAGGGAAGGAAAAGAAAAAGGCAAAAAGAAAGAAAGAAAGGAAGGAAGGAAGGAGAGATGGGAAGGAAGAAAGAAAGGAAAATGAGGAGAAGGAAAGAAGGAAGCCGTAATGACACAGTGGTTAGAATGCAGTATTGCAGGCCGATTCTGCCCGCTGCCAGCAGTTCGATCCTGACCGACTCAAGGTTGTTTCCATCCTTCCTTCTGCGGTCGGTAAAACAAGGACCCAGATTGTTGCGGGGCAAGAGGCTGACTCGGTAAACCCCCTTAGCGAGGGCTGGAAAGCAATGTCTAGGTGCTATCTGCCCTCAAGACGATGCGTGCAGGCGCCCGCCGGAAACCTGAAGAGCAGCTAGCTAGCTACTACGGCGTGCATGTCCATAGAGAAGGCTCTACGTGCCACCTCTGACACGCGTGCCATAGGTTTGCCATCACGGCTGTAAGGCATTACACGCCAAAACTACTACACACAAGGAGTCCGTCCCTCCCTCCCGCATGCCATCACTCTGCTAAACACTTAATTCCCACAACACTTGTTGTCTCTTATGCCCTGGGATGTCACACCACCTAGTAGGGCTGTGCTACTATTAACTTCCTCCTCTTTCCTATGACTTATTCCGTATCTTCTTACGACTATCGCTTTGTTGCCTGGGTCTCACAATTCATATTGTTTCATTTAGTATCCCACCGTAGGATGGTTTACGTCGATGGCTGATTTAGTATCCTGTGAGTGCCACTGAGAGTTGTCTCTTAGGATTTACGATGAACGTATTCGATGATTTTAATCACGATTTATCACTCGTTGGCTTTGTACGCTGAGAACTTACGCGCCCGAGACAAATTCCTTATGTGACTCCAAACACACTTGGCCAATAAAGACTTCTAATTCTAATTCAGTTCTAATCCTATTTCTAATTCAATTCTATTTCAATTCAATTCTAATTCAATTCTAATTTCTAATTCTAATTCAATTCTATATCAATTCTATATCAATTCAATTCTATTTTCTATTTCTAATTCAATTCTATTTAAATTCAATTCTAATTCAATTCTAATTTCTAATTCTAATTCAATTCTATTTCAATTCAATTCTATTCTATTTCAATTCTATTTCTCAATTGTATTCTATTTCAATTCAATTCTAATTCAATTCTAATTTCTATTTCTAATCCAATCCAACTCTAATTCAATTCTATTTCATTTCTATTTCTAATTCTATTCTATTTCAATTCAATTCTAATAATTCTATTCTATTTCAATTCAATTCTAATTCAATTCTAATTTCTAATTCTAATTCAATTCTATTTCAATTCAGTTCTAATTCAATTCCATTCTCATTCAACTCTAATTCTAATTCTAATTAATTCTAATTCTATTTCTAATTCAATTCTATTTCAGTTCAATTCTAATTCAATTCTATTCTATTTCAATTCTATTCTATTCTATTTCAATTCAATTCTAATTCTATTTCATTTCTATTTCTAATTCAATTCTATTTCAATTTAATTCTAATTCTATTCTATTTCAATCCAATTCTAATTCAATTCTATTTCATTTCTATTTCTAATTCAATTCTATTTCAATTCAATTCTAATTCTATTCTATTTTAATTAAATTCTAATTAAATTCTAATTTCTAATTCTAATTCTATTTCTAATTCAATTCTATTTCAGTTCAATTCTAATTCAATTCTCATTCTCATTCAACTCTAATTCTAATTCTAATTCTATTGCAACCACCCTCACTGCCATCCTGCCCCAAGGTTATTTCCCCGTAATGAATCCTTCGTTCAATTCACGAGGAAGACATGAAGGGGATCCGTATTTATTGCTCAGGTGTTCGCAAAAACATACAATAATGTGCGTAGACTTGAATGATAGAAAGCTTTGCTTGAAATACGGAGTTGAAAGTGGCTTGCTTCGAGCAAAAAAACGGCGGCAGGTGATGGAAATAAGGCGCGTATACAGGTAGCCCTCTACTTACGACCAAAATTGAGCCCAAAATTTCCGTTGCTAAGGGAAACGTTTCTGCAGGGGGTTGGACTAGAAGACCTCCAAGGTCCCTTCCAACTCAGCGAATGTTGGAAAGATTGTACGATGCAACATGGAGCCTCCATCCGAAATAACACACTGAAAATAAAAATACTAGTTGCGTTTGACACGGAAAATGGAGCGAAGAATCACAAGTTGTGGCAAAAGCTAAAACAAAGAGAGGGACTTTGGTGTCATCAATCATCATCAATCCTGTTTTAATAATCCCTCGCGGGGTGGAGCCTGGGCAACTGAATGGAGCTGAGTGTTTTATTGGCCGGATGCCTTTCCTGTCACCAATGCGGAGGTTTTTTTCGGCAGATATATTGTCAGTGTGGCCAGAGAGAGAAAAAATCTGCCGCTACCTAGGATCGAACTCCCAGCCTCCTGATTCTGAGGTGAGAGCTCCACCTCTGCCCAGAGTCACTATGAATCAAGACAAATACTAAAAAAAAAAAAAATTAAAAAAATTGTGCGTCCTGGTATAATATTTAGTAAAAATAGGAAGATGGAGGAGTTTGACGATGTCCAAAAATCTGGTGGAGAGATAGTGGTGCCCGTTGGGAAGAAACGAATGTTTTATCAAAACACAGGGAGTCCTCGACTTACGACAATTGAGGCCCAAATTTCTGTCGCTCATCAGTGAGACGTTTTGTTAAGGGAATTTTGCCTCGTTTTACGACCTTTCTTGCCAGAGCCGTTATTAAAGGGAATCGTTGCAGGTATTAAGTTGGTAACCCGGTTGTTAAGTGAATCGGGCCACCTCTTTGACTTTTGCAACAGTCGGGAACACTGCCGCCGTCATAAATACGAGTCAGCTGCCAAGCGTCCGAATTTCGATCACGTGACGGGGGGGGGGGCGGGACGCTGCGACGGTCGTAGGTGTGAAAGCCGATTCTAAGTCGCTTTTTTCAGGGATGTTGCGACTGCCAACGGTCACTAAATGAATGTCGTGGACGACTTGTAAGTGGAAATCGCTGGCTGTGAGAATGAGCTTCTGTGTATTTTGTGATGCCAAAATTGTACAAGACTCGGGGTCAAGAATGACGGCGTGCCCAAAGAATGGACATGGGGTACAAATTCGAACGGTTTCCTTCCAGACGTTTGTGGGTACCGGAAGTTTTTAAAAAGGAAATTGGACAACCATTTTTCTGAAATTGGGTAGAGGGTTTCCTGTTTGAGTAGGGGGTTGGGATAGATGACCTCTGAGTTCCCTTTCAACTCCTGGTGGATTCTGAATCATGTGCTGAACCTATTGGGCCAAACAGACCAAAGCAGAACATAAAGGCAAGCAGTCCTTGACTTACAAACGTTCATTTAGTGACCATTTGATGTTACAAAGGCACCGAACAGAACAACTTAAGACCGTTTTTCACACTTACGACCGTGGCGGCCTCCTCGTGGTTGCGCGGATCAAAATCCAGAACACTTGGCCACCGACTTGTATTGCCGTGTCCCCCTTTTTGCGGCCTTCCGATGAGCGGAGTCAACGGGGGGGAAGAAGCCAGGTTCGCTGAACCGCCGTGTGACTCATTTAACAACGGCGATGAATTGCTGGCACGGAAAGTCGTAAAAAGGGGGGCAAGGCTCCCTGAACAGATTTCTCACTGAGCAGCATTGGGCTCCATTGTGGTCATAAGTCGAGGACTGCCTGTACTGAAAGGGTGACAAGATTGGGGGTTGGGGGGGGAGAAAACCAAGCGTGTCTCACGGGAACGACCGAAGAAGCAAGTCAGAAGCGGAAGGGAGAACCGAACGCATGACTCGGTCTAAGGAAGGCAGTGGCGCATGTAAAAAAAGTGACTTAGGACTGTTCCTTGCTCTTACGACCGTGGCAGCATCCCCACAGTCACCTGATCAACATTCAGGCGCTTGGCCACTGCCTCGTATTTATGACGGCGGCATAGTTCCGAGATTACGTGATCCCCTTTTTCGACTTTCCGACGAGCGAAGTCCATGGGGAAGCTGCGCCGGTCATTAAACAGGTCAGTGATTTTGCCTGATTTTGTGTCTCTCTCTCTCTGTGTGCATCATTAAGAAAAGTGGTAGTCGTTAAGCGAACCCGTGTCGTTTTTTTTCCAGAAAAATTGTCATGAATCTCTTTGTCATAAATGAGGGGGGCGGGATTGCTCAGCGGCCCCCAAAACGGTCACGTAACATGGGGGTGGGGAGAGACTTCGGAACTTTGAAACCCCAGTTTTAAATCCTGGTTGCAACGTCGGTCATAAGTCGAGGACTATCTGTATTTTGCTTCCTCTGGTCCAGATACAGATAAACAGAGTTGGAAGGGAGACCAAGCAGACTTCCAACTCTGTTACTCTGTTACTGTCAAAAGGCTTCGGTTGCAGCTCAGCGGATTCACAAAACCCCCCCCAATAACTCCGTCTCAGCAGAAAGACAACATAAATCTCGGGCAAACAAGCGGAACAAGCCGATTATAGGAATCAAACGATCTTAATGTCTCCCTTGGGAAAAAAAACCCCCGTTTCAGAAAAAGGAAGTGCAGTGGGTTTGACGTACACAAACAGGAAGTTGAGTGGGGATGAGTCTGGCGCGGCCAACGCTCGACACCCACGCGGGGGACACGGGAGGTCAACGATACACAACCAAGGGCCCCCTTGCAAAGCGACGACAGCCGCAAAATCTGTTGCGTTCTACTTTTATTTCGATGCTGTGCGATAAAACGGAAAAGTGCCCACTTTCTCTCCGTGCCAGAGGGCACCGTGCGTTGTTGTGGCGAGCGGGGAAGGCTGCATGGAGTGTGGCGGTGAAAGCAACGGTGTCGGGGGGGAAAAAGACGGGCACGGGGTTGTTTCGCCCCCTCCCTGCCCCTTTCCTATAAAATAAACGAGTTGCGTTAAGCCGTGTGGGCAGTGACGGCGAGGGGAGGGGGCTGCCCATTGCAACCATTCCAAAGAGTATAGATTGGGGGGAGGGAAAGGCCATCTCCCCACAGGTTTGGTTGCCTCAGTGGCCCTGCGCGAGAATGCTCCCAGGGGCTGCGGTTCTTGACGCCCCTTGGCGATGCTGCATTCGCGACTGCACGCACCTTTTGGCAACACTACGTCCACGGACGCAGGCGTGTATAATCTTTTGCGACACCGGATAGGTCAGCTTTGGCAAAAGTTCATCTGCAGGCAACAATGCAACCTTTTGGGTGCGACCGTTCGCGGCGCTGCATTTGTTGGCGCCTGCGGCTTCTTTCTACGACGCTGCATTTGCAGGCGCGTCTAATTTCTGCAGCACCGAATTTTTAGATGCACATAACCTTTTGCAAAACTTCATCTGCGGACACAAGGCAACCTTCTGCCACGCTGCCTTTGGGAGCGTGTGCAAGATTTGGCGACGCTGCATTTGTAGGTGCGTGTAATTGTTGCAACGTCGAGCGGGTAACGTCTTGCAGCGCCAACTGGGGTTTTCGCACCTTCCATTTCCAAGTAGTTGTCTGAACGCCCTCTCTTACTGAAACCGAACACCGGGGCAGGGCTCGGCCCCGTTCCCCGCTTTCCAGCCAATGGGGAACTTTGACCCTTCGACCCTTCGGCCTTCCCTGTTCGGCGAAAGCCCGGTGTCCACTTCCTTGGGGTTCTGCCGTCCCCTGCTGGCCGGGACCCAAACATCAGTCTGTGGAGCCAGATGTCCACCACGGATCCTTCCTGAGCGGCCCCCACAATTCTGCTAGGTTGCGTGCGGTCGCGTCAATGTCGTACCACACCAAGATGGCAGGGATCCTTCCAAACATCCAGTGAGCCCAATAAAGAAGCAGAATAAAAGTATCAAAATACAAAATGGACGATGCCACGGTGCCCAGCCAGGGTGTGAAGCATAACAAGCGCTGGGAATATACACACAATCCAGGCAAGAAACGGGATTAAATAAACCGGAGTCTACACACGTCACTGAGCCAGTTCCTCGTTGTTTGAATCCATTGTCGGATTCCTGCGGTTGTTCGGACTGCAAAGTCTGCCACAAAGTGAAGGCGCAGCGCCCGGTTAGACCCCCCCTCCCCTGCCCCACCACCCTTTTTGCTGCTGGTATCCGGGTGGACGTCGGAACAATGGCCCCGAAAGCGGGAAAAGGGAGAATTGCCGGTCCAGAAACGAAAAGGAACAACCGGTACACTGCTCTGCGCTCGGACGCGCCCGCCATACGGAAGGCAGCAACGGGCGGGCTCCGTTCCTCCTCTCTGGTTCTGCGGAGCCCACCCCGGACCCCAGCCCTGCGGTCTTCCCGCTGCCCGGTCTTCTCAGTGGACTTGGAAGAGGCCGAAATAGGTGAGGTAGCGGTCCGCTTTCAGACGGACGTCCGGGATGGTGCGAAGACGGATGGAGGCTTCGGGACGCAGGAGAAGCAATCCGGACACCTGACACACGTGCAGTTCGGCTTCCCGGGGTCCCGAGCTAGTAGGGGGGAACTGCTCCAAACAGCGCAAGGCCAGCTGGCCGCTCAACATCACGTCCAGCTTCATGTAGACCGTCTTCCCCTCGTTGAAGTGGACCTGGCAACGCGGAGAGGAGGAGAAACACAGACGACAGGAAATGTTGGGCTCAATTCTCAATCAAGGAGAGAAAGCAGCCTAGAACTAAGGAGAAATTTCCTGACAGGACAATTAGCCGGCGGAACTGCCTGCCACCAGAATTTGTGGTGCTCCAACACTGGAGGTTTTTAAGAAGAGGCTGGACAGCCACTTGCCTGAAATGGTATAGGGTTTCCTGTCTGAGCAGGGGGTTGGACTAGAAGACCTCCAAGGTCCCTTCCAACTCTGTCATTCTGTTAATTGTGGTCGTAAATTGAGGACTAACTATACTTATGTCTGGTCACAGCCGTCGTTTAAAGTTACGACCTACTTGAAAGAGGGGACATCTATATCTACAGTTTTGATGGTCAGCCCCTACACGCACGCATACAGAGTGTCCTCAACTTAAGTCCACAATTGAGCTAAGTGAGACATTTGTTAAATAGGGTTAGCCCCATTTTACGACTTTTCTTGCCTCAGTCGTTAAGCGAATTCCTGCCATCGCTAAGTTAGTCAGACGGTTGTTAAATGAATCTGGGCTTCCCCAAGGACTTTACTTGTCACAAAAGGGGGAATCACGTGACCCCAGAGACGCTGTGACCATCATAAATGTGAATCAGCCGCCAAGCGTCGGAACACTTGATCACCTGACCACGGGGAGGCTGCAACGGTCGTAAGTGTGAACAACGGATCCCAAGTCGCTCTTTTCCAGTGGCGTTGCGACTTCGAATGGTCACTAAGAGTACCGTTGTAAGTTGAGGACAACCTGTTACTTATGACGGTCACAGTGTCCCTTCACTTCTGGCAAGCAAAGTCAATGGGGGAAGCTGGATTCGGTTAATGACCGTGTGACTCATAGAACAACCGCAATGGCCGCCTGTAGCAGTGTTTTTCAAGGAGAATTCTGGGAGTTGAAATCCGCCCCTTTTAACGTCGCCAAAGTTGAAACAATACTGAATTATTTAATTAACTATATTGGAATGCCCCCCTTCCTTCCAATCCTGCCATCCTCTTCCTCCCCAAAGCAACCAAAGTCCCAGAATGCTTTGCTCTTCCTTACCCACAAAGCCCCTGCTTTTCCGCTCACCTGGCAATACAGGTAATAAAGGCCCCGTTTGATCACTGTGAACTCTCCGCGGCTGTTGTCGTAGCGCAGCGGGTTGGTGGCGTTGAGCTTGGCTTCTGCCCATCCGCGGATGGTCCCGTTGGCATCTGGAGGGCGAGGGAGACGGGCGAGGGGGAAGGGAGAAGTGAACATTGGGTCCCCAGCCCCTCCGCTGTGGGGAGGTGTCTGCTGAAGGCCTCGCCCATATCCTCCCACCACAGGAGGCAGTGTCGAACGACACAACGGCCGAGCTGCCCTTCCAGCGAGGGACAATGTCGCCCACTTTTGGGGTTGGGTGGTGCAGGCTGGCGCGAGGAACTTGACTTAGGGGCAAGGAGGGCGGGTGGGAGGCCAGCAGCTCAGGTGGGCCAGGGGGCAGGCAAACGTTTCCCCACCCCACCCCCAACCCTCGAAGTGTTACCTGCCTGCATCCCAGCTCGTCCTACGGTGGCTTGCACTGAAAGAGAGACCGAGAAAGAGAGAGAGAGAAAGGGAGAAAGAAGGGAGGGAGGGAGGGAGGGAGGGAGGGAGGGAGGGAGGAAGGAAGGAAGGAAGGAAGGAAGGAAAAGGGAGGCAGGGGAGAAAGAAGGGAGGAAGGAAGGAAGAAAGGAAGGAAGGAAGGAAAAGGGAGGCAGGGGAGAAAGAAGGGAGGAAGGAAGGAAGGAAATAACAGAGAGGGAGGGGGAAAGGAGGAAGAGAGGGAGGGGAAGGGAGGGAGGAAGAGAGGGAGGGGAAAGGAGGGAGGGAGGAAGGAAATAAGAGGGAGGGAGGGGGAAAGGAGGGAGGGAGGGGAAGGAAGGAAGGAAGGAAAAGGGAGGCAGGGGAGAAAGAAGGGAGGGAGGAAGGGGAAAGGAGGGAGGGAGGAAGGAAATAAGAGGAAGGGAGGGAGAAAGGAGGGAGGGAGGGGAAGGAAGAAAGGAAGGAAACGGGCAGCAGGGGAGAAATAAGGGAGGGAGGAAGGAAAAAAGAGAGGGAGGGGAGAAAGGAAGAGGAAGGGAGGGAGGGGAAGGAAGGAAGGAAAAGGGAGGCAGGGGGAAAGGGGGGAAGGAGGGAGGGAGGAAGGAAGGAAAGGGAGGTAGGGAAGAATACGGGAGATGAGAAGGAGATGAAAAAGAAAAGAAAGAAAGAAAGGAAGGAAGGAAGGAAGGGACGGAGGAAAGAAGGGGAGAGAAAAAAAGAAAGTAAAAGGGAGCAAAGAAAGAGAGAGTGGGAAGGAAGGGAAAAAGAAAGAAAGAGAAAGAAAGAAAAAAAGAAAGAAAGAAAGAAAGAAAGAATCAGTCTGATGGATGGAGGCAAGGAAGCCCCTCCCTCCGTCCCCCCACAAAGCCTCTGGCATCTCTCCTCTCGGGAGGGGGGGGTCGCTGCAGACCAGGGGAGACCCTCCCTCACCTTCATAGTGAGCGGCGCAGATGGTTCCCATCCGGCAAGGCCGTAATCGCTTCCCTTTCTCAGCTGAAAAAGAGGGGGGAGGGGGGGTTATTTGGGTGGGGGAAGGACCCCAGAAAAAAAGACAACAGCAGCAGCCCTCAATTTTCCTGGCCAGTCCTCAACTTACAACGGTTCATTTAGTGACCAAAGTTACAACCGCACTGAAAAAAAAGTGACTTAGGACCGTTTTTCACACTTACGACCGTTGTAGCCTCTCCCACGGTCGCCTGAATCAAATTCGGACACTTGGCCCACTGACTCGTATTTATGACGGTCGCAGTGTCCCGGGGTCACGTGATGATCCCCTTTTGCGACCTTCGGACAAGCAAAATCAAAGGGGAAGGCAGATTCATTTAACTGTGTGACTCACTTAACAACTGCGGTGATTCGCTTAACAACGGTGGCAAGAAGGGCCGTAAAATGGGACAAAACGCCTTTAACGAGTGTCTCGCTTAGCGACGGAAATGTTGAGCTCAATTGTGGGTATACGTGCAATCTCTCTCGCCCCCCTAACTGATTTATGTAGGTGGTCCTCGACTTATGACCATAATGGGGGACAAGTTTTCTCGCTAAGCAAGGCAGTTGTTAAGCGAATCGTGCTCAGTTTTTGCAACTTTTGCAACTAAATCACTGCCGTTCTTAAATGAATTGTATGGTCGCTAAGCGAATCCGGCTCCCCCTCCATTGACTCCACTTGTCGGAAGCCGGCTGGGAAGGTCACAACGGGCGATCACATGACCGCGGGGAATGCTGCAATGGTCATAAGTGCGAGGAACGGTTGTAAGTCATTTTTTTCCCATGCTGCTGTAACTTTGAACGGTTGCTAAACGAATAACATTCGTAAGTCGAGGACTACCTGTATTACATTTAAGGTGTTCTGTCCCCAACTCTTAGAAAGGAGCAAACTCACCTTGCCTTCGATGCCGCAGCGCCCCCTCCTGGGCAAAATGGTGCAAGAACTTGCCTTGGTTATTCCAGCTGGAGGAGAGCACCACCTAGAGGAGAAGAGAGGTACTGCAGGTGACACAAAATGTTGGCAAAAATTGTCAAAATCCGGACACGTTTTAGTCGATTCCAAACCCTAATTGGGCCAAAGCAGCTTTGCAGCCACTACAAAGCCCATCGATGCAAAAGACGGGACACGCTCCGCAAAACTTGTCCCCATTGTGGTCATAAGTCGAGGACCACCTACATAAATCAGTTGGGGGGGGGGTAGAGCGATTGCTTTCTCTCTGTCTTCTAAGAGGGAGTCCTCGACGTACGACCACAATTGAGCCCAAAATTTCCGTCGCTAAGTGAGACACTCGTTAAAGGAGTTTTGTCCCATTTTACGGCCTTTCTTACCACCGTTGTTAAGACAATCACCGCAGTCGTTAAGTGAGTCACACGGTTAAAAAAGAAATTTAGTCTAAAAAAAGAAATTTAGTCTAGAATTTAATCTAAAAAAGAAATTTAGTCTAAAATTTAGTCTAAAAAAGGAAATTTAGTCTAAAATTTAGTCTAAAAAAAGAAATTTAGTCTAAAATTTAGTCTAAAAAAAGAAATTTAGTCTAAAATTTAGTCTAAAAAAAGAAATTTAGTCTAAAATTTAGTCTAAAACAAAGAAATTTAGGCTAAAATTTAGTCTAAAAAAAAGAAATTTAGTCTAAAAGACCTTCGGAACGAGATTTTCCAGATTTACAAAACACAGGAGCGGCAATTATTCATGCTGGGCTAATGGAACCTCCATTTTCAGAGGCAGTCTACCCCAGAATACCAATAGCTTGCAAGGGGAGGGGGGAAACAAGGAAAATCTCCTAATTATTCTTATTAATTTATTAATTTGCACTTATTGATTGCTGGCAAGAGAAGGGTAGCCTACATTGGCAGAGGGCCCTTTGAATATTTTCTCTCCTCCATGCTGGTTTCATCCTGGCTTGTTCAAGAGCGGGCTTAAGGCAAGCTTATTTCCCCAAAGGTGGACGATATAATTTTTTTCCGGGATTTTGGGGTGGGTGGGGGATGATTAGATTAAGATTACATTAACAGAGTGGAAGGGACCTTGTAGGTCATCTAGTCCAACCCCCCGAAGCAGGAAACCCTACACCGTTTCTGGATGAAGGGCAACACGGAACTTTAAAGCTGTGTGGTTGTGCGAAAGCTTTTTGGCAAACTCAAGAGAAGCATTGACTCCTGAGGAGACCCCCCCAAAAAATATCAGAATTTCCTCTTTGCGTGATACGGACAGTCCTCGATTTACGGCCAGAATTGACAGCAACTTTTCCGTTGCTAAGCGAGAAAGCGGTGGAGCGAGTTTTGCCCCCTTTTTTTGCAACCTGATGCTAAGCGAGACATCAGTTAAGGGAGTTCTGTCCCGTTTTGCGACCTTTCTTGCTGCCATCGTAAAGTGAGTCACTGCGGTTGTTAAGTGAGTCGCACGGTCGTTAAAGCAAATCCAGCTTCCCTGTTGACTTTGCTGGTCAGAAAGTTACAAAACGGTTATATATTTTGGCCTCAACTGAGCCCAAAATATCTGTTGTTAAGTAAAACATTTGTTACGTGCATTTTGCTCCGTTTTACGACCTTCCGTGCCACCGTCGTGAAGTGAATCCCAGCAGTTGTTAAGTGAGTCACGCGGTCGTGAAGCGAATCCGGCTTTCCCCGTTGATTTTGCTGGTCACAGAAGGTCGCAAAAGGGGATCGTGTGACCCCGGGCTATTTTAACCGTCATAAATATGAGATACTGCAACCGTCATAACTACGAGCCGACTGCCAAGCGTCTGAATTTTGATCACGTGATCATGGGAGGGGGAATGCTGCCATGGTCATAAGTGTGAAAAACGGTCCGGTCACTTTTTTTTCCGTTGTTACTTTAAACCATCACTAAACAAAAACGGTCGTAGGTCGAGGACCACCTGTATACTAGACAGACGGCAGAAAAACAGCTCATTATACAAAGTTTCCCCTTTTGTGCATGGCTTAACAAAAGAAATGGTCGCTTACCGGCTCCAGTTCCTCCGACGACAGTTTCTGGGGACCAGAAAGAAAGAGCACAAATCAAACCACCGGATTACACAAACCATCCTCCCCTACCACCATCGCCCTTTCCGAAGAAGGAAGAGGCCAGTTTGAACGTGAAGCCCAATTTTTCCGTGTACGATTTTGGCTAAAGAACCAGGATCGAATCAAACATCCCAGGATTAAAAAAAAAAAAAAAGCAGTCCTCTAGTTATGACCAGAATACTTCCTGCCTATCACAGTCGTAAATCGAGTGATCCTTGCAACCAACCTGATTTTACAACTTTTTTTTTTAAAACGGCGCTCGTTCAGGGAAGCCCTGGCTCGCTTAGCGGCCGGTTTTGCCCAAAATTGGAAAGAAAAATATCCATTTTGCAGAAAACCATCAGAAACGCAGTTACATGCAAACGGACGTAAATATGAAACAGTTGTCAGGTGACCAGCGTGCGGTCCCAGGACCGGAGGAGGGGGGGCAATCTTGGGAGCTGGGTGATGCTTCCCCTCCCTCCGTGGAGGTCCATCATAACTTGAACCGTCACTAAGCAAGTCATCGTAAATCAAGGACTATGTGAAACCAAGATGGGTTTATGAGATGGATAAAAATTGTATATCTAACACAACTTTGACAGCTTCCAAATGTGTGGATTTCAACTCCCAGTTGTGCAAATATTATTTTTTTTTTTTGGTAGATGAATATTTTCTCACGTTTTGCCCCTTTAAGACTTGTGGGACTTCAATTCCCAGAATTCCTCAGCCAGCCATTTGATAAAAATCAAGGTCTATTACATTGGCCACATCCCTGCTGTCTATTAAAAAAATTATCCAATCAAAAAATGTGATAAAAATAGTCCAGCCTCATTTCTTCATGCTGGCTGGGGAATTCTGGGAGTTGAAGTCCACGGGTCTTAAAAGTTGCCAACATTAAAAATTAGCTGAAAATTCAGATTTTGACACCATTTGGATCCTAGACCAATTTCATTTGATACAGGCAGTCCTCGACTACGACCCCAATTGAGCCTAATGTTTCCATCACTATGCGAGACACTCATTAAGTGCAATTTCGCCCAATTTACGTCCTTTCTTGTCACCGTTGTTAAGTGAATCACTGCGACCGTTGAGCTAAACCCGCGTTAAGTCAATCCCTGCGTGTTAAATTGGCTACAAAGCCTTAAGTTCTGACTCCGTGTTGACTTTGTTCGTCCGAAAGTTGCAAAAGCAGGACACTGCGACCGTCATAAATATGAGTCCGTTTGATCCATGACCACGAGGATGCTGCAATGGTAGCTAAGTGTCAAAATTGTCACTTTTTTTCAGTGCCACTGTAACTTCGAACGGTAACTAAACAAACTGTTATAAGTCAAAGACTAACTGTGTTTTAACTGGTTAGCCATCAATCAGGGCTTACGCCTGGGAGGAGGGGAGGTATAGATTCTCCTGTTTGAGCAGAGGGATGGACTAGAAGACTTCTAAGCTTCTATTCTATTCTATTCTATTCTATTCTATTCTATTTTATTCTATTTTTCTATTCTATTCTCTTCTATTCTCTTCTTTTTTCTTTCTATTCTATCTATTCTATATTCTATTCTATTCTCTTTTTTTCTTTTTTTCTATTATATTCTCTATCTATTCTATTCTATTCTTCTATTCTATTCTATTCTCTATTCTATTCTGTATTATTCTATTCTATTCTATTCTCTATATTTTATTCTATTCTATTATTCTATTTTCTATTCTACTATTCTATTCTATTCTATCATATTCTGTATTCTATTCTATCCTATTCTATTCTATCTTTCTATTCTATTCTATTCTATTCTTATTCTATTTATTCTATTCTATTTTATTCTATTCTATTCTCCTATCTATCTATTACTATCTATCTATTATCTCTATATTCTACTATTCTATCTATTCTACTTCTCTTTCTATTCTATTTCTATTTTCTATTATCTATCTATTTCTATTTCTATCTATTTATTCTTCTATTATTTTCTATTAGTTTCTATCTATTCTATATCTCTATTCTTCTATTCTATTCTATTCTTTTATATCTCTATTCTTTCTATCTATTACTTTCTATTATTTCTATTCTTCTATTATCTCTTCTATCTATTCTATATATTCTATTCTATCTCTATATTCTATTCTCTATCTATTCTCTTATTATTCTATTCTATTTTCTATTCTATTTCTATCTACTATTTTATTCTTCTACTATTTCTATTCTATTCTATTTTATTACTCTATTCTAATTCTATTCTATTTCTTTCTATTCTATTCTACTTCTTCTATCTCTATTCTATTTATTCTATTCTATTATCTATTCTATTCTATCTTTCTATCTATTCTATCTATTCTATTTCTATTCTATTTCTATTATCTATTCTATTCTTCTATTCTATTCTATTTTCTTTAATTCTATTCTACTTTATTCTATTCTACTATTCTATTTATTCTATTATTCTATTCTATTATTCTATTCTATTCTATCTATTCTATTCTATTCTATCTTCTATTCTTCTCTATTTCTATTCTATCTACTTTCTATCTATTTCTATCTTCTATTCTATTCTATTCTATTCTCTCTTATTCTATTATCTCTATTTATTCTATTCTATTATTTTCTATTTCTATTATATTCTATTTCTCTATTCTATTCTTATTCTATTCTCTATTATATTCTTTCTATTCTATTCTCTATTTTCTATTATTCTATTCTATTCTCTCTATTCTATTCTATTCTATTATTCTATTATTATTCTATTCTCTATTATTCTATTCTATTTTCTATTCTCTATTCTACCTTTCTATTCTATTCTATTCTATTCTTTATTCTAATTCTATTCTATTTATTCTATTCTATTCTATTCTATTCTCTATTTATTCTATTCTATTTTTTCTATTAGATTGGTTTTCTCTATTGTATTCCATTCCATTCCATCCCATCGTATCGTATCCCTGGGAAAATCCATTTGAAATTTATATTTGAAATTTATAAGACGGGTTGAAGGCGCCAGGCCGGAGCAGAGGTTGCTATGGCAACATAGCAAAACAGATGTCCCAATTCCCCAGCTGTTTCGGGCCTTGCACAAAAAATATATATATATATTTTTTTTAAAAAAGCCAAGTTGCCGATTGTTTTGCGCTCAGCTGGTGGCGAGGTTTTTAAAGTTTAAAAAAAAAATAAAATATGTGTAGCTTGGAGGGAAGGCAAACCCCAGCAAGGTTAGCCCCAACCAGGGGAAAAGAGCTCAAAAAAAAAAAAAAAAAATCACGAGTTTATTTTATTTTATTTTTGTAATCCGCTGGGCCTGTTCCGCAGGCAAGTGGCACTTACGGGGAGGCACCTTCTCCAGATGTGGGGACGGAGAGCTCCGAACATCTGGGGACACCTGTTTGGGGGCGTTGTGAGGGCCTGAAATCGTACCCGAGTTTGCATTTAATAACCTCTTTCTGAGCTCCGGCACAAAGAGTTCAAACCAAACCAAAACAAAAAAAAAAATATGTTTTTCTGGAATCAAAAATATATATATATTTTTTTCTCCCCCAACTCCCCCAGCCGGTTGTAGCAAGAGGAAAAATAAATTAAAAATAACTCTTTGTTACGTGAACAAGAGTTTGAAGAAGAAATAAGGCTATGAATTTTGAGGGGAATAAAGGGCGGAACTCCCAAAGCCCTCTGCACATGCTCCGTGGTTCTCTTATTGATTGATTGATTGATTTTACTGATTGATCGGTTTGTATCCTGCCTTTTATTTTTTACAAACTAGCCAAGGAGGGGGAAACATATCAAATACGTGTTCCTCCTCCTATTAATGCAGAACAACAATCCTGTGAGGTGGGGCGGAGATATATATATATATATATATATTAAGGCACAACTAGAACTCCCTGTCTCCTTGCAGTTGGATCAAAGTCACCCAGTTGCCTTTCACACCTAAGATAGGACTAGAACTCACCGTCTCCTGGTGGCTGGCCCAAAGTCACCCAACTGACTTTCATGGTTAAGGCACAACTAGAATTCCCTGTCTCCTGGTGACTGGTTCAAAGTCACCCAGTTGCCTTTCACACCTAAGATAGAACTAGAACACCCTGTCTCCTGGTGACTGGTTCAAAGTCACCCAGTTGCCTGTCACACCTAAGATAGGACTAGAACTCACCGTCTCCTGGTGGCTGGCCCAAAGTCACCCAACTGACTTTCATGGTTAAGGCACAACTAGAATTCCCTGTCTCCTGGTGACTGGTTCAAAGTCACCCAGTTGCCTTTCACACCTAAGATAGAACTAGAACTCCCGTCTCCTGGTGACTGGTTCAAAGTCACCCAGTTGCCTGTCACACCTAAGATAGAACTAGAACTCACCGTCTCCTGGTGGCTGGCCCAAAGTCACCCAACTGGCTTTTCATGGCTAAAGTGGGACTAGAATTCCCTGTCTCCTGGTGACTGGTTCAAAGTCACCCAGTTGCCTTTCACACCTAAGATAGAACTAGAATTCCCTGTCTCCTGGTGACTGGTTCAAAGTCACCCAGTTGCCTTTCACACCTAAGATAGAACTAGAACTCCCTGTCTCCTGGTGACTGGTTCAAAGTCACCCAGTTGCCTGTCACACCTAAGATAGAACTAGAACTCACCGTCTCCTGGTGGCTGGCCCAAAGTCACCCAACTGACTTTCATGGTTAAGGCACAACTAGAACTCCCTGTCTCCTGGTGACTGGTTCAAAGTCACCCAGTTGCCTTTCACATCTAAGATAGAACTAGAACTCACCGTCTCCTGGTGGTTGGCCCAAAGTCACCCAACTGGCTTTTCATGGCTAAAGTGGGACTAGAATTCACTGTCTCCTGGTGTTTTACCCCCAAGTCATCTAGCTGGATTTCATGGCTAAGGCAGGACTAGAACTCACCGTCTCCTAGTTTCTAGCCTACTGCCTTAACCATTAGACCAAACGGGCCCAAAACGGCAAAAACGGCAAGTGTTAAAAATTGCATTTCTTTTTGTCATGCCAACCTTAACCAA